TCTGGGCACTGTCCCTCAGCTCTTCAGATCAAGGCAAGCGCTCTACCACTTGAGCCACAGCGCCACTTCTGGTTTTTTGGTGGTTAATTGGGGATAAGAGTCTCATGGACCTTCCTGCCTGGGCTGAATTTGAACTGCGATCTTCAGATCTCAGCCTCCTGAGTAGCTAGGATTACAGCCATAAGTCACTGGCACCTGATAAGATGTCTTAATTTCTAATAGCACATAAAGACTGGTCTCCATTCTTAAGAAAATTCATTTTTATTGAATGAAAACTGATGACGCATGCAGTAAGGCTGCAATATGGCTTTTTCTCCATAGTAAAGCCAGGATTGCATGTCAGGTCTCAGTGTAGAAAATTCATTCTTCAAAGAAAGGACCTAATTTTCCAAGTTTCTTCTCAAAATACCTCTCACCTTATTTACACTCCCATCTTTCATGTCTTTTAAGTTAACATTTGCTTCTATTATGAATTCAAGCAAGGCCTAACCTTCAATAATAAAGATTCAGATTTTTTTATCACATTTATAGTCATTGTCGCTATCTCAAAATATCTTACACTAATCACTACTTGAAAATTATAACAGCTATTAACAGCTACAATATTAACAGTTATTAAACCTGATGTTATCTTTAAGTGTTCCCATTTATAATGTTGAAATCCATAAGATATAACCGGCTATTGGAAAACTTTATGCCTAATTTCTCATTTACCAATTAGTGAGGTCTTTCTGGCAACCCAAACACTTATGTTTTCTAAGTTTGTTTCTCTCTAAGTAAATGTGGAAACAACATCTGGAAAGAAGTAACAAATCAATCCACAGTTCAGTGATACTGGGGACTGAAATAAAATTATTTTCACTTACCTGTACTTTAATTCTGTAGTCTTATTTAAAGGTATTACTAAAGAACTATATTGTATCATTCCCTATCATTCTCTAGATTTGAAAAATAAAAGTCCAATTTTTTTTAATAAACAAACTTAAAAATCTTATTTTGAAAATGAAAGATAATTTTTTCTTTTTTTTGGGGGGGGGGGTGGTTGTGGGGCCTGAAATCTGGGCCTGGGCACTGTCCCTCAGCTCTTCAGCTGGAGGCTAGTGCTATACCACTTGAGCCACACAGCGCCACTTCCGGCTTTTTTTCTTTTTGCTTATGTGGTACTGAGGAATCGAACCCAGGGCCTCATGCATACAAAGCAAGTGCTCTACCACTGAGCCACCTTCCCAGCCCTGAGAGATAATTTTTTCTAACTCTATTCTGGAACAGAGATAAACTGATCAGTGAGGGAAAGACTTGGAAAAGTGAACTATTTTCTAGTTCTTAAGTTTGTTCTGCATAGGAAGGCCTGTAGTATTGAAAATTACTAAGTTTTTTTTATTATTGTGAAAATACTGTACAGAGGGGTTACAATTACATGGGCAAGATAATGAGTACATTTCTTATCAAGCATTGTAGCCTCCCTCCTTTGTTTCCCCTTCCCATCCCTTCCCAGCTCACTGCAATTTTGGCACCTATTAAACCCTTCTGAAATGTTAACACTGTTGGATGTTACACAGTTTATGTTTATGTTTCAGTTCTAAAGAGCTCTCCTACAAAAAAGATTTCCTATAATGGAAGAACATAAGAAAACTGACTACTGCCTAAAATAGTAAAAAGGATACAAAATAGGAGCTCAGAGTTTTCTAAGGCTAATGGTTAGCTATCCAAATTGTTAAAAACAAAAGGTGTTAGTTGAATAATGACAAGAAACATAAATAGGCCTTTTACTTTAGGAAAGAGCATTAAAATATCCATACCACAATCTATATCTTTTTTCTTTTTTAACCAGTCCTGGGGCTTGAACTTAGGGCCTGGGCACTGTCCCTGAGCTTCTTTTGCTCAAGGCTAGCACTCTACCACTTGAGCCCCAGAGCCACTCCTGGCTTTTTCTGTTTATGCAGTACTGAGGAATCAAACTCAGAGCCTCATGCATGCTAGGCAAGCACTCTACCACTAAGCCACCTTCCCAGTCCCACAATCTGTATCTTTTGAAGAAGCTGATTAGTTTATTTTAAAATAAGAAAAAGCAGAGTATTTTACAATTTAGAAACAGGAAATTTTGGAACTAAACTAGTTTTAAATTTTCCAGTCTATCTACAGACGAAAGAATGAAAAATGCACTCATATGCTTTTCTAAGTCTAAATTTGCTTCCTAACAAATGCCTACTAATAATCCTTTCAAGTGTGAAATAAAGCCTTATTTAAGCTGATCCATGAAATCCAACAAAATCAACCAAAACAATCTAAGAAAACATGATCGGTCTAAAAGTAGAATTTGTTATGTAAGCAAGACTACTTTTATTGGATGTGGCAAGAAAAGAAGATATTAGTGCTAAAAATATTCTAGCAAGTGGTAAAAGCACCTATCAATTAATTACTATCAGTTTTCATTATGATTGAGAAGTGTTCATTTTCACCAAGAAAAGATCTTCTAGCCACTAAAGAAGTTCAACAAGAAATGAAAACCAGAATTCCCAATACAATCCCAGGCATATCACTTGGGTACCCCAAAGAATCAAGAGTCAATTTACTACAGAGATACCTGTATATACATGTTAGTTGCTGTAACATTCACAATAGCCAAATTATGGAATCAAGTCTTGGTGCTCTCATCAATGAATGAATGGATAAAGAAAATGTGGAATACATACACAATGGAGTTTTACTCAGACATTTCAAAGAATGACATTATGGTGTCTTCTGGAAAATGGATGGAAATGGAGAACATCATGTTAAGTTAAATAAATTAGTCCCATAGTGAAACCACTGGTATGCACAATTTAATGTGTATCAATTAAACTGCAACTAACATTGTAAGTCAAATAGAACATTGTAAATAGAATAGAATAAAAATTTCCAAAGGTATGCACTTTACCTCAGAAAGCACATTTAGACCTGCAGCACCAGCATATATATATGAGTATGCATGTATATATTGTTGGGGGTGCTGGTCCTTAGGTTTGAACCAAGGGCCTGGGCACTGTCCCTGAGATTTTGTGCTTAAGGATAATGCTCTACCACTTGAGCCCCAACTCCACTTCTGGCTTTTTTGGTGGCTAACTGGATTACAGGCTTGAGCCACTGGAGCCCAACATCAGTATCAATATTTTTAAGAATAGAAAGCTTCAGGTCATCTACTTTAAAAGTTTAAAGTACAATGAAGTCTTTACCAGCAACTAAGGTCCTGGTACCTAATTATCAATGAACCACTTACCACTATCATTAACAAGTGGTAGAAGCAGGTTTCCTAATTAGACTCAATGGTAAGATTTTCCAATACTACCTCTTAACTAGCTGTGTAATGTTAGGCAAGTTTCTTATTACTCTATGCCTATCCCTTGAATCTGTACTATAATAACAGTAGCATCATGAGGATCATATGCTTTTTTTTTTTCTTTTTTGCTTAAACTCAGGCCTTTCATTCTCCATGGGCATGCTTTCTCACACTGGGCATGCTTTCTCACACTTCTAGCCAAAGTTCTTGCTGGTTAATTGGAGATGAAGTCTTACAGACTTTTCTGCACAAGCTGTCTTTGAACCTTGATCCTCCAGCCTTCTGAACAGCTAAGGAATACAGGCTTGAGACACTGGCACTGGGATGAATTTTATTTTCAGTAGCACTTAAAAACACTGACCACCCTTGGCAAATAGTCACTATTATCTCATCTCTCCTGGATATAAAACATTATATCCAAGCATTAAGGAAAGCTATACAGAAAGAGATACTATTTCTATCTGAACACTGTGAATCAAGTAGACAGAAAAATTTATCACAAAATTTTAACTATGATAATTAGCTATCTGGTATAATTTTTAGTCACAAGTTTATATGCCTCATGTTTCACTTTTTTCACATTTCTTTAGGAAACAAATAAGCAATTTTCACATAAAAGATAGGCTGTTTTTGGTTTTGAAAGTGCAAGATATTTTACTCAGCTTTCATCTCTCCCTAGGGTACATGGATGGATTCTTCCCAAGAGAGGATATTACTACAGCACAAACAGTTAGCCTCATACTTAGTGCCAATAAAACTGCTGTACTAGAGTCTTTTAATCTGAGTATTTCTAAAGCTCAGAACACTCTATACAACCAAACCAATAAATAAGCAACTTTCTCTATACCAATATCATAATCATTGGAAAGACTTGTATTTGCTACTATTTTAGGCAATATCACTAAAAATTAATCTTTTATAGCCAGGATCTATTTACTTCAGAGTTCCATGGGGATGTGTTAATGAGTTAGATTTATAGATGACAATCCAATTTATACTAGAGGAACTATATGAAAAGTCATTTTTAACAAGTTATTGTTAGGATTGGCATACACCTATATTATCTCAAGTTGTACTATTACTCTGAAATGAAAACAGAATCTGAGTTATTTATGTTTTTAAACATCTGCGGGTATGTCATTATGCCCTTAGAATATTTTAAATAGGAATTAACACCAAGTTTTAGAGAAAGCAATGTTTTCTCTTCAAGATATTGTACTCTGAATTCTTTAAATCGTATTTCCTTCATAGAGGAAAGGAAAAGTCTTTCTTCTTCATTTCTCTTTCCTTTATACCTACACCTACTACACTACAAAAAAAAAAAAAAAAACTTGCTATAACGTTCATTAAAAAAAAAAAAAAGATGTGATTTAAGAAGCATCAATACACTAGATACTACTAGCCCCCAGTACTGGGGCTTGAACTCAGGGCTGGGCACTATCCCTGGGCTTCTTTTGCTCAAGGATAGCACTCTACCACTTGAGCCACAGTGCTAGTTCTGGCTTCTTCTGTTTACGTAGTACTGAGGAATTGAACTGAGGGCTTCATGCCTGCTAGAAAAGCCCTATATCACGAAGCCACATTGCCAGCTATATATTTATTCTTGAAACAACTATTGTACCCTGATATTTTCCAAAGGAACGGGTAAGATAGACTTGAATGCATATTAGTAAAGAATACTTACTTTTGAAGAGACCTAGTAATAGGAATCATATTCTCCTTCAACTGTAATTTGGAGAAATCATTTTCTGAAACCTATTAAAAATGCCAAAAAATAAAAATAAAAAACAATCAAAATTCTTAAAATATCATTAATATCTATTAAGTTAAAAAAAAACCACAGAAAACTAAAGAATTGAGTGTGAGTTACTTTCTTTTAAAAAACCAGCATAGGAACACAATTCGATATTGTGTTACGTGGCATACATCAGAAATCTGTAAGAAATTCTAAAAATATATAGGAAGAAATCTGCTGTGGATTGAAAATGAAAGGTTTCCCACCTGCTCATGTGTTGACCGCATGGTCCCTAACTGGTAAACAATTCTGGGAGGTTACAGAAAGTGTGGGAGGTGAGGCTTACCTAGAGTAACTAGGCTTAGGGCATTTTTTTAAGGTTATATCTGGTCTCTGGTCCCTGGTCCAGTTCAACACAAAGTTAACAGCCTCTTTCTTCACATGTTCCTCCCACCATGATGATGTTCTGCCTCACTAGGGTCCCTATCAGTGGAACCAATGACTATGAACTGACACGTCTGAAACCAAGAACCAAAATAAATCCTTCCTCCTCTAAGTAGTTTCTGTCATGCAGTTTGTTATAGCAATGAGAAAAGTAACATATTAATTACATCTCAATAAATCAAGTTTGAACTTACTTGTTTAATATCTTCTTTTCTTTCTGTAGTTTTCGTCTGACTGAAACTTTCTTGAACTGCTTGAAGATTAAATAACATTTGTTTTAAGGCTTCAACAGGACCATGATGTTTGCCACCAGAAAGGGTAGAACTCTACCGTTTAAACAAATGATAAAGTTAGCCAATCCAGTGTGAGAGAAAAAGGGCTTTAGTGTGTATTTCTGTCAATATAAAATTAGTGTAAAAACCAAACAATTCACGTTAATAAGTATTTTTTTAAAAATTAAATACAACCCATCACACTTCCCTATACCACTTCTCCAGATGAAGTTACTTAGAAATAATATGCAAGTTTGGCATATTCTTCATAATTCTTGTTATTTTACAATCTATACTACATATTTATATTTACAACAAATTCATTTTTTTTTATACGTAAGTAAGACTGGGAGTTAAACTCAAGCTTCACACTCTGGTTTGCAAGCTGGCATTCTACCACTTGAGAAATACCTCCAGCCCTTATTTAATACATTTAAAAATCATAGCTTTTAATTAAAAGATCCTCAAAGAGCAGCAGGTAATCTAACATGTTCTTATCAAGTGTCTAAATAAAACTGAGAAAGACTAAAGTCTCAAATCATAATTTCTTGCCATAATTTAGAATGTTTTCATATAGCAGAGGTCTGGAATGTTTTCTTTGCTAAGGCTCATGTGGATATTATTTATAACAGAACCAACAAGCCATATAAAAATATCAATACAGGCAGATGGGCTATGGGCAGCTGAAAAGAGCAAACAAGCTGCACATGTGTCTTTCCAGTCATCCCGCAAAATGATTTTGAGGGCTTTACAGGCCTCAGGATATACATTCCCCACTACTGAAAAGAATGCTGTCTTTTCAACCTTTCAGAGCTAGCTACTAAGACATGTCAATTATTACAGATCTTTTCTGTGTCCGAAGATGGCAAATGCACTTATCCAACAGATGGTCACAATCTTAAGATAATTTGTAAGACATATTTTAAAACCTCCTAACAGTCTATTATTGTTACATTTTTCAAACAAGTTGCAGTGCCCTGCAGGTATCCAAATAGTGGCAAAAAAGCCTCTTAAGGTATCTATAACTTGACATATTTCAGCAAGAACAATATTATACACTATTTATAATCCAATTATATAGAAGTGTTGACTCAGAAAATTTTTAAAGTTAAGCAGAATAGCTAATAAAAGTATTTTAAGTAAATAAGTATCTGAAAAGGATATAAGAAATTGTACAGGGCTGGGAAGGTGGCTCAGTGGTAGGGGGTTTGCTTTGCTGCCTGAGGCCCTGGGTTCGATTCCTCAGCACCACATAAGCAAAAAGAAAAAAGCCAGAAGTGGCGCTGTGGCTCAAGTGGTAGAGCGCTAGCCTTGAGCTGAAGAGCTGAGGGACAGTGCCCAAACCCAGAGTTTAGGCCCCACGACTGGACCCCCCCCAAAAAAAGAAATTGTACAGAATGGTACAGGCAATTCCTCAAAGTAAAATACAGAATTACTTTACATGACTCTGTCTTATATGTCCAAGAGAAGTGAAGGCAAAAAGTCACAGGTATTTGTACCTATATTCCTATTTGTAGCAGCATTACTCACGACAGCCAAAAAAGCAACCCAAGTGTCAATATGTAAATGAATGGAGAAATAAAATGGAGTACAAGCACAGAATACTATTCTAAGAAAGGAAGGAAATCTTAAGAATATGCTATAACACAGATGAGCACTGGCAAAAATCAAGCAAAATGAATTAAGCTAATCACAAGACAAACACTTGGATGATACCTGGGGAGGGGAACTGTCTTTTGAGTTTCTACTTTGCTTTGTTTTAATTTTTGACACAAGGTCTTGCTATCTACCCCAAGCTAGCCTGGAATTCATTCTGCCTCTGCTTCAATACAGGTGACACAATATCTGCTTTGTAATACTTCTTATATGTGGTCCTAGCATAGCAAATTCATAGTAATGAAAGTAGAAAGTATACACACACATTTCACTTGGAGACTTTCTGTAAACTGCACATATACTTTGAGCACCCAAATTATAATTTTCATCTTTTCAAACTACTATATTGAAACACAAGCCCCAATAATCAACTGCCCTACAAGAAAATATAGTTTACTGTATAATTGCCTGGTCTGTTTTCCCAAAAGAAAAAAAAATGTAATTGTGGTATGTGCCCAACAGACTAAGATGGTTTTATGTTAGGAAAGAGACTGGATCAGGAAAAGATTGGGTCTGTTTTTGTTTTAAAATACCTAGCTTGGGGCTGGGAAGTTAGCTCAGTGGTAGAGTGCTTGCCTTGCATGCATGAGGCCCTGGGTTCAATTCCTTAGCACCACATAAGCAGAAAAAAGCCAGAAGTGGCGCTGTGG